CCTCAGTATGAGTCATACAACAAAGTTTAAGAAAATCTGACTTTAGGGGATAAAGTTTTAATTGTCCAACTGTGGACAGACTAATGATAGCTATATATTTGTTATATGAATGCATTTCAAATGTCCTTGAAACTGAATGACCTAAGCATCAATTTTAAAATGAAAGTCAATTCATCAATAAATGAATAAAAAGCAATTTGGAGCAAAATGAACTGATTTTGTAATTTATCTACTGACGAACAGAATTTCAAACTGAATAAATCATATTGAAGTGTATTTAAACGGGATAACAAAAACTAAAGTTGAACTTTTAACTTGATATGAATGAAAATGGAAGAAGTAAACAAGAACTTTTGATAATTCAAATTCTAAATATACAACGTTAAGGAATATAAGTGTATGTATACATTGTATGAGTATATTGTCCTGCAAAATGAATGAAAAATGCCAGGAATTTAGGTTGAGTTGAAAAAAACACAAGTACAAACCGGTAATAACGTTGTATATTTTCTAATTTAACAGCTGGTATTTCATGATACATAACATATAACTGGCTAAATTTATGAGATAATCATCAAATCGATGATAACGTTATCAAGAGATTTCAATTTGCCTTGGGAATTCATTTTGGAGGTTTGTGAGGATTTATTTACTTCAAGGCGTAATTCATTTTCAATTAACATCATTTAGATAAACGTTTAAAACAATGGTGGAATGATCAAATAAACAACGGTGATTTTAGATGAAAGTCAGGCTCTATCGGCAAATTGATGTAAGAAAATATGGACCATAGCATTGTGACCCACTCCCTTGTATTCCTAGTGGAACATAGAGCTTCAGTAGCACATCGCCATTTCACTCTCTTCTCTGCAGTCTATCCAACCTGGCTCCACGACTGCCCACAAACTTTCATTCCTTCCTCACACCATCTCCTCCATGTCACCCTCGGCTCAGACGCCCAACTCATCGTTTCTCCTTTGGGTTCCATTCGACGACCTGGAGCGTGATGTCCCCAAACCGTCTTCTCAATGTATGTCCAATCCAATCCATCTCCACTTTCTTCTTCTGCATATTTGTTGAGAGATAGGTTGTTGGTTGGTTTGTTGCCAGGTCAGGTGAGTTCAGAGTTCTTTGTTGCTTATTCTTGTTATTCTGGCCATCTGATCTTCGGTATCGAGTGTAGGCAGCAAAGGTAAGGTTTTCATCATGAATTCTGGAAGTCTTAGGTTGGATTTCTGGTAGGATCAATAATGCGCACTTCTGATGACCTCAGTACCTGGAAGAAACAGCTGTCCAGCACTCCCAGGTTTTCGGTGGTTCCCTGATTTATGTCAGTCAGTGATACCTACCAACTTTTTACTTGGAGAATTGTTGATTCGACATTTTCTATTATGGTTTACAGACTGAATAACTTGTGCAGTATAGGTATCTGCAAGTTGTTTGCATGATTCTGGTTATTTATTTATTGGAAAGATTCTCTTGTATTTTCACAATGAACTTCTCACCTTCATTACCTACTTAATGATGTTTATATTATAGATAGCTATCAATAATCTTTGGAGAAACTGTTAGTGTTTCAAAGTTCATAAGCTGTCAACAAAATGTTATCACTTTGACAATGATCGATTTGATTTCATTTAGAATTCAGATTGTGCTTGCCTATATTCTTTGTTCCAAAATTAGTCCGTTTGGCAATTAATCTTAAATTGCTGCTCATCGATTATTGGTCTGATATGTAAATTTATGGTCACGTCTATTCATTTGTTAAACGATATCAGAGACATAAATTTTTGTAAGGAGATGAAGTGTATACAGGTATATCTTCATTATCCTCCAGTGTAAAATGTATTTGAAGGTAAGATCTAATTGCCCACATTTACAGTTCAGTCAGTCAACATGAACATAGAATGTGACATTACTGAGTAACATTCCTAATTATCAGACTTCACATCAGTACATCATGGTGCAAGTCAGCAAAATGAACGATAAAGAAACAGGGTAGGAAAATGTAATTAAAAGTCGTAGAAAGTCACGAGAAGTGAGGAAGAGAAGGGGGGGGTAAATAGTGATGAAATGTGGTATGATGATTAGGAGTGAGAAAATATGTGGATGCATCTGTGTCAGTTAAGTCGATTCTAATCCTCTTTATCTAGAGTCTTCAGCCATTGATTACTGCTGTCATATGGTTCATGGCAGGCAAGTTTACATTCCTCAACACTACTAGAACTGAGAGTCAGAAACCCTGTACACTGAAACCATGTTTAATTTGGGTTACCATAACTTTTTTCCAGCCTTAAACTACTTCAGCTAACATTGCACGATGACGAAAATGGTATGCGTAACTCATGAACCCGTTACTTGTGTCAGTAGATGTGTACAACCTCATTAACTGATTTTTTATCTTATATACATTTATATACTACGATCAGCTGACAACTTCAACGAAAGTCAACTATTAGCCGAACGCTTCAAGGTGAATTAATGGCATAGGGCGAAACAAGCAACCAGTAAAACTATTATTGAATGAAATAAAAAGCCTATACAAAGTATACAGCATTAAGAAGTAATGATGACTGGTTGTTATTTTTGTAACCTTCAAATGGTAGACGAAGGGCAGGTGAAGGTCACTGATAAGTTCTTTAAGTTAGGCATGCTGTATCAGGCTCAATATCAATATATCATTTTTTTTAAATACAGAAATATGCTGAACATTAGAGAATATAAAATTAAATGACGCGTTTGATCAGTTTTCGAATCGACTGTTGTCTACAAAAACAAGATAGAACAATATAGCGTATTACTAATAAATACTAGACAGTAATTCAGTTGGGAATTTTATGTGGATTTGTCGATTTCAATGTGGCAATCATCACAGACTGATGTCAGTTGGAGAGCTATTGAAAACCTAGAAGTCCTTAAAAGCTGTTTCTTCGTATCATAGATCTCTTCAGCAGCGCTTACCCACCACATCACCAGGAGGATCTATTGCCCATTAGTAATATGCCTGGAAATAGGTTTTTTAAAGTCTAATGGGATGCTGTGACCTAATGAGAAGTCACGACCGGTGGAGCAAACTAAGTAGGATACAAGGACAAGCACTGTGCGACGGTATTGAATGAAGGTCACGTTATATCGCAAAATGACAGAAGTAGGAAAATGTGGACTATTGGATTGTAAACCAGTGGCTCAATGGTGAAATGCCTAACAACCCCGAGTTCGATCCCTGGTGGGTCATGGGCGCCCACTACTGAAGGGTCCTGTACTACGATGAAACAGCTTACCTGTATTCCTAGGTTTCCAGTGGTTCTCCAACTTATGTTAACTGATGATTGATACCAACTTGAAATTAACCAACTTCCAGAAATCTCCCAAATGAAAAATGAAATAATTTATATATACGTTAGTGATCAGCAGCACAGTTTATACACTATTATATTTCACAAAGATCAAAATTACAAATTACTCAAGGTTAAGATAAGCCTTGGACGTTGAAACAGAATTTGAATAGTCGATTGAAACTTGTAAAATAGATCATAGAACATCAATTAGGTGTGTCATGTAAGTTGAAGCAACAACTGTTTTTGATCCAGTTAATTTCCTGACCAAAATTAAGTGGGAATATAACACATTTTTGGGTTGACCTTGGGCTAGTCAAAATCAAGCTTATCAGTAATTGATAAGGTTATTCACCACCGATTTTAGCTGTGCAGAAGCATAGACGGTTTGTTTTGCATAGACTTTAGTATAAGCAGATTTGATGAAAACTGAGGACGAATGACAATTGTTCGAATGCATCCATTACTTACCTCACTCTAAGTGCTCATTGTTTGACCATTCCATATCTTTTTATTCCTGAACTCGTCTCATCAGTAATTACCTTATTAATATCTTCTTTCTTATCGTTGGCTTCTTTCTGTTACGAATTAAGCTGATAGAGTACCGTATCAAACTGTCTTATCCTTAATAAATAAATCTATAGTATGAATAGTTAACTTGTTACTCAGCAGTGGCACATGTTGGTCATATTTAACTTTTGACTCCTAGTATCAGGATGATCACATCTAGAAATTTGGATCAAGTGATTAACTACCAACAGGATCCACGTTTGCCTCTTAGTTGCACAGTAGAAATAAAATCGTTTATACGACTAATTAACACTGCCGCTACTTCTTACTAGATGACTTGTCAGTCCTTCAATCCTAATTTATCATTTCATCAGATCATCTTTGTTTTTTTGGCTAACCAGATTTAAAGTTGGTGTTCATCGTGGACTGATACCACTCGAAGGAAGGTTGGAACCTGGGAGCCCTCGACAGCTGTTTCTTCATAATATGGGGCTCCTCAGCAGTACGCACTCATGATCCTGCCAAGGACCAAACCTAGGGTCTTCAGGTTCCATGACCAACACGTTCCCAACGCACCACTGAGTCTAAATCCAGTGGTCCATATTTTCTAGTTCTGTCAGTTCGCGACATACCGCAACCACCAACCGATGTCTTCGTTGGGTATTTGTCCTCACGTCCACCAGGTTTGCCCCACCGGTCACAACTCATTGAAACTTCGGAAATCACCTCCCGAAAGTAGCTACCAGTGCCCACTAGATTAATTCAGTTTAAGGGTTTATGAGGAGTTATTGATTTCAAGTTGGTATTCATCATAGACTGACACGAACTGGAAGAACATTGGAAGCCTGGGAGCACTGGACAGCTGTTTCTTCCTAGTATGGGACTACTTAATGGTGGTCACTCATGAAACCGCCAGGGATCGAAATTATCCAAGGTAAACCCGACGAAATGAGATCCACGAATACATGCCATGCTCTTCTATTGTATCCGGCATAATTACCTCTTCAGAGATGCCTATTCATAAACAGTACGGACTAACCGCTTCTCGTGTATCTATTAACAAGCTTATTTAAAGACAAAACAAATAAGTGAATTATGAAAAACCAGTGATATTCTGCTACATTTCTTTCTTTGTTAAATATTTTAAACATAAAGGAAATCTAAAAAGGACACCGTGCTACAACAAAATCTTAAATGTAAGCTGAAACATCAACTCGAAAAAGAAAAACAACAAGAAGAGGCTAACCGTATTAAGCTGGAACAAGCGGCTGCTGCATATTATCAGTGGGAATTGAAAAAGGTAATATTCTTTATATTTCATAGTAATGATCAGTGGTGGCTAGCAGGGGAGTCCGTGACGTATATTTCATCCTATTCGAAACTTTTCAGCTGGATGTACCTGCCTCTCAGTGAGCGATGTTGTTCCCACTAGGACTCGAACTCTAGGCAGGTCGCTTCAAATGCCAGAGCGTTATCCACCAGAACATTGGGTCACAATAGCCACTTTTTGTGTGACGCACATAGTTTTTAGTGCTGCTACTTGTATTCTCCCGTCGTTACGTGGGCCGAATCGATCGGTCACTATTGAGGCACTGGCTCCTGCGCGGATGCCTCAATATTGCCTGTCTTTTCAATTTTATAGTAATGATGGATAAATAACATGATGTTTAGTGCCACTAAAGAAAGCTCATAAGTTTATCGAGGTGAAGTTTTCTATCCAATCCAAAACGTTGTGACAGTTGAATTGTCAGATATATTGCCTAAAATTGACTAAACGTTAAATGTTAATAACTGTACTCCAGTTTTTTTTATGTCATTATTATTTGTTTCTTGGGTTCCTAGTGGAACATAGAGCTTCAGTAGCACATCGCCATTTCACTCTCTTCTCTGCAGTCTATCCAACCTGGCTCCACGACTGCCCACAAACTTTCATTTCTTCCTCACACCATCTCCCCCATGTCACCCTCGGCTCAGACGCCCAACTCATCGTTTCTCCTTTGGGTTCCATTCGACGACCTGGAGCGTGATGTCCCCAAACCGTCTTCTCAATGTATGTCCAATCCAATCCATCTCCACTTTCTTCTTCTGCATATTTGTTGAGAGATAGGTTGTTGGTTGGTTTGTTGCCAGGTCAGGTGAGTTCAGAGTTCTTTGTTGCTTATTCTTGTTATTCTGGCCATCTGATCTTTAGTATCGAGTGAGCGTAGCCAGCAGCTGCTCATGTATGTCTGCGATTTGTTGGAAATGCCCTTCGTAAAGCGCCAAGTCCCAACCACCACACAGAAGCACTGACTTGACTGAATTGGTGTTGAAAATGCGAATCTTGTTCATGCTTTGTGCTGAGTGCCGAAGATCTCCACACTGGTTTCAGATTAATGAAGGAAGGCCTGTCTTGCTGTCTTTCCGATCCCGACTTTGATGTCCTCATCTATACCACCGCCACCTGTAGTTGAGACGAAGCTACCTGATTAGGTAGGTGAAAGAGACTACTTTCTTTAGGTTTCTCCCGTTGATGGTGATTGGTGCTTGTTGTTGGTTGGGTATCTTCATCACCTTTGTCTTCTCTATATTCAATTGGAGTCCCGTCTTCGCTGCACTGTCTCGCCTCTTCTGTCAACTTGTTAGTATTTGCCTGTAGATCTTCGAGTTTGTGCGACAAGTCATTAGACATAAATCACCATCGGCGAAATCCAAATCTTCTAGGGTCCTTTCATCGGTCCAGCTTATGCCCCTCTTCTCGTTCCTCACCACTTGCTGCATGATCCAGCCCACCAAGTTTTTGGTATGAGACGTTATAATTATTGGTTTGAATGCATTTGATACTGCTTAATTTTCGTAATTATAATCAGACAGACAGACAGATAAATCAACGTAGAACTTTGCACAGAAGTTTATCAGTTCGTTTTACCACCCAATAACATATGGTTCATATGAAGCAGTTATAACACATAATCTTCAATGAACTCCATCGTTATTCTGTGGATAACAGATTGATATTACCACGAGTTTAATGTGACCAGCTGAGGATGCAATTATCACCTCATTACACTAACGTGAAAATGGCTTTAAAGTACGTCAAATTGAATGATTTTTGAAAAAGTAAGTAGTTGATAATATACTTATTATCGCCATCTACATAAATCCTATGGGCTTAAACAGTCAGAACTGATGCAGATACAAGATGAAGACCTTGGGTGAAAGCCGCGCTATATCGCGAATTGTTAAAAGCAGGAAACATTGGATCGCTGGACTCCAACTAAGTGGCTGAATGGTTAGTGCATTCGCCATGAAACCAGAAGGTCCTGAGTTCGATCCCAGGTGGGTTGGGTCGTTGTCGCGTACTGCTGATTCCCATAGTAGAACGAAACAGCTGCTATCCAGTGCTCCCAGGTTTTCAGTCACTATCCAATTGATGTCAGCCCTTGATAAATACTACCAAAAAATTAGGACTGTAGCTCATGCATATAAAATGTGATATTAAATGAACATGATCGATTCATCGGACAAAAAATCATTGTTTGTAGGTCATAAGGCAACCAATCATATTTTCACTTAGACAATTTTTTGATATCATCCGGATCCTTGAGAAGCGATCTATGTACCTGAGGACTTGGAAATTCCGTTAGAGTGAAGAAGAACGATTTACAGTTGTTACCGGTCGGTGTTGTAGACGTTAGGGTAGAACTCAGAAAAGCTATGGAAAAAAAATAACTTTCTAAATTAATTCATTATTGGAGTTGAAAATCGAAATACACTCAATAACCACGTGCACGTTCGATCAGCAGGCAATAAGGCACTCCTATTATATGGGAACTGATGGGAACATCTGGCTGTCCAAACCCCGATAGGTAGGGCACCATTCAAACTAGCAACCTACTAGTTGAAAGTGAGCTGCCTTGACCAATGAGCCATAACTTCATGAATCTGTTATTAGAGTTAAAGACGATTGTTTTGTGACTCAGTCAGGAAAGTATAACAACAACAACAGTCTGTATGAAAGCCGTTGAAGTAAAGGAAATCAATTTATTGTATTAGTTCTCCTTCCATAGAAGTGAACGTATAAGATCATTTCAACAGACAACGATTACAACTAAAGGTTCAGAGTTAAAACAAATAACCTGAGTTAAACTAGCGAACGTTAGCTGTAAGCACTTCCATAACAAAAAGAAGTTTCACTCTTCCGTATAGCTATGCTTCAGTTGGTTAGTTTGTTTAACATTAAATCCTCTTACACCAAAAATTAGTCTCAGATAATAAGTGCAACAGCTACTTCACGCTTCATTTACAGATCAGTATCATATTTAAGCTTTCTGCCGAAAAATTATTAGCTGTCATGATGGTGATCAACATTTTGAAATTCGTAGTATAATTTGATCTGAAAAGCTTTCAGGAGTAAGACGTGCAAGCGCGAGTTCTGAAATTAATTTATACATTTAAAAACACTTTATTAGAATCTACGCAATATTTAAATATCAATATATTTGGGAAAAAAGATAATTTCTACTTTTGAAATGTTATTAAAAAAGGTGAAGTAATAATTGCAATTACATCCATTTTTTGTTCAAGGTTGCCTCTGTGGAGAATCTTGCAATAAGTATTGACAATTCAAGTAAACTGAACAGAAGACCATGGAGACCTCCATCAAAAATAATTTCACCAATGAATACATACCGAATGTATTGAAGATAATCATCTAATACTTTGTCTTTTCTCTGTGTTTTCATTTGATTGATAAGTATTTAGATGATGTTTTGGCTGAAGGCAATTTGTTTTCATTTTTTTGTTTCAATGAGCTAAACATGAAGGTCATTGTAACTTTAAAACTGATTGACCTCTACAAATAAGTGTGTATTTCGTTTCATTTTATATTTTCTTATCTAATTTTTGAGCAACATTCACATCGATGTCTTCTCTTTGACCATCTATTCATAAAACACCAAGGTCACATCTCAAAAACCCAGAATTTCAAGATTGGTTTGTTTGAAGTCTACTTTTCACTTCTAAAATTTCTGAAAGCATTTACTTTTCGAATAACTTCGTTGACAAATCGAAATAAGTGTAGAGTTTATTTTATTCATCGGTATCAATTAATTTTCTTCTTAAAATGTACTTTCAGCTCTTATCATCGGATTGTGATTACCGGCTTAAATAACAATTTATAAAGTATTCTAGGTCGACAGTGAGGTCGATGATGCTGATGTATGTAAAAATAATACATGTATAAAGAATAGGTTTCATTAACTTTAGTTGAGACGAAATAAGTAAATAAGATAGCAATCAATGGATCGTTGTTAAAGAAACTGTAGTACTTATAAGATACAAAATACTCTCTGGGTTATAGGTCCCCATAGAATCAAAATTGTTTCTGAGCCTCAAACTTGAGTCACTGAATCCAGGCCACATTATTTTAAGGTGTCTTCCCTTACAGCTACCATTGTCAGTGGTTTTATCTTGGAGATATCTATACATTAAGTGCGAGTCAGTGGTCTAGGTATTCTTCTAGAAGAAAGGTTCTTCGATTTCAACTGTGTGGGCGATTTCGTTTTACGGTAAAACAACATATAGGCTACTGTAATCTTACTCACTCAGTTAGTGATCGGTGCCCGTAAGAATGGCACGAACTTTGCTCCATCAGAATTAAAATCGTTATTACGAAAGCGGCAGGAACTTGTATCTGCACTTTTCGGTGGTGAATGCTGTAAGTAGTCGGAAAGTTTGTGTATCTGAGTAGTCGATTGAGTGTTAATAGAGGTATGATTGGTGAGACTGTTAGGCATATGCCTAAGGGGAGCGTGGCACTCGCCAATCATAGTAACCTTTGTTATGTTTGCCATGCTGTAGAAGGTTGAGGTTAAAACACCCTAGTGCAGACAGTTCTGCTACACATGTATGGGAACTCACCTATCAAAACTGAATATTCCCAAAAACTATGTTTGCTTAACCACAGTTGCCCAAATACGATTGATAGCAGCAAATGCAATAACATTGTAAGTAATCCTCGGGCGACTTGGTGAGTGTTCATGTGTGATGGGGATCGTCATCCACACTATACTGAAACACTGGCTTTCAAGGCCTATATATACGTTACAAATGTTGTGCCAGCGATTCCCGCACCGATCACTGACTGTCATCACTGCGGTCGGATTGAAGATATGATGATATCTTGAGTTGTCATTTACTATCGCATCAAACATGCCAGGATAGGGGCCGAGAGGTCATACAGTTGCTTGGTTAAATATGTTACAAAGTGTAGCTTAGACTCAAAACAAGTGATGTTTATGTTGTAGCTTTTTTGCCTTTCATTATCGAAAAGTAAAACGAAAGACATAAACACTTATTTCAATGATTCGTAAAACTGTTTATTCACAATCTGTTAACCGTTCTACCTATTTTTCAATCTCTTTATCTCTACACCATACCTTTCAGTGTTGTTGTGCTCCTTTGGGTAGAGCATTTCTTCGTCTAAATTAGACCGAATTAGCACCAAAAGTGAATAGCAGAAAGGTAACAGGTTGCCAAGTCAATACAAGGGGAACCATGATCCATCATCATAGATACAAATTAGTTTCCAGGTCATGACTAGCTGCTACATCTACAAAAAGGACAACCTAATATCACTCTTTTTTTCAATCACATGGAAATCAGTATTTAAATCAACAACATGAACCACATTGGGAAGATGTTCAGTTTTGGTGAACGTTACTTACAAAAATGCAGATCAGTAGTATACAGCGCAAGATCAAGAGACAGGAAGTAATAACAGTTGACTAGCGAAGATCCAGTAATAGAAATACAGAAGGTAAAGAAATTGTGCACTAGGATGCTGAATGAGGAGACTGTTTACACAAGTAATTTTATTGTAACGTCTAATATATCAAAAGCATATTTATCATTACTAATTGTGATCTTCCAATCAATAATATCTGTTGTTCCAATGGACTCTGGTGACTCAGTGGCGAGTTCCTCGGTCCATGTTCAAATATTTTTTAGAAAGTAACCTGACCTTTCTTCTGATATATGTGCTACTATAAATACAAGTAAATAGACAGGAGCTACTGTAGGCTGCTAGAGCAGGCCCCATATACAAGCTAAATCCTTTGAGTATTTTCTCTGTGCTATTAAGATTTACCAACTTCACAACAAGAAGACTTAGTGAGTTGCAAGGATTTCATTGAGATTATTTTGAGTTCAAATTCTCGTATTAATATTCGAGTAAAACCTGGGCATTGTGGTGTCTTGTAGTTTTATAAATATTACAGGTTGATTGCGTAATGAGTTGGCTGACAATTCTATTCTTAGTCATAGTTGAAGCATAATGATTGTAAGTCAACCTACATGTTGACACTGTTTTTGAACATTTGCTTAATTGTCAGTCCGTTTCTCCATGTAACATTTTGACTGAACTATGCTGTACTAAAGATTCTAACCACAGGTCATGTCTTAAGGTTTTTCTACGGGCTTTTCTTTTTCTCCATTCCGCAAGATAGGAACGGTATTCATTGCTAACGTTTAATTCTAAGTTATTTCTGGCCAAATGTATATCTATAACAGAGCAGATATATTTATGGATAGTTGGGAAAACATGGCTTTACAAACGTTTAGTCCTGAACCAAAAATGTGGTGGCGGTATGTGGATGACACATTTACTGTGTTGAAATTGGAACATATCGACAATTTCTTCATGCATATAAACTCAGTAGTAAACGCAATCCAATTCACTTACGAGGTAGAAAATAAACAAGGGGAATTACCTATATTGGATTGCAGAATAAAACAAAGAACAGACGGTGACTTGAATACTACTGTCTACAGAAAACCAACACATTTCAACAGGTATCTAGACTTCAAATCATCTCATCCAATGTTAGTTAAGGCAGGATTTGTTAAATGTCTAAATGATAAAGCTAGAAAACTGACTAATCAGAGCAAGAATCTAAATAAGGAATTGAAACACGTAGAAGAAGCGCTAATAGTTAATAATTATCTCCCGCAGTTTATCAAGAAATTCTCACGGACACAAAATACGAAAAAATAACAGTCACACAAGTGCGACCAATAACGACAAGTTGAGTAAAAAGGAGTTCACAGCCTCCATTGTATTACCCTATAAGGAGGGTACCTCAGAAACTTTACGTAGATTCCTCAACAGAGCTAGAATTAGGATGGCATCTAAACCTACAAACTCACTCAGAGATAAACCTTGTCGGCTGGCTTGAGGATCCGATAGGACCAATTAAGCAAAACAATATAATCTATCAAACTCCATGCAATGAGTGTGAGGTCAAGTATATAGGTCAAACTAGTCCATCGGGGTCAGTCAGAATGGCCGAACATAGGAATTTAGCTAAATATAGAATAACAGACCTGAATAGAATCAATAATCGACAAAGTGACTTGGCTATTGCTTTGCATGCATTAACACACAGTAGGATGCGTGGAATAAGGCCACTTTACTTAGGTCCAATATAATTAGGTGAAGAGAGAGATTGATTACTGAATCTTTGTTCATCGAATCAACAGGCAACACATGTAATAGAAATGACGCAACACCTATGCCAGAGATATGGAAAATTTTGCTACCAATAAAGGCAACTCATATAAAGTGACATAACTATAAAAATCAAATGTCGAAAGTAGTGTGATTACATTGATACGATTATGATCAGTGATAATTTGTGCTCGAAACATCAAGTAAATAATACTAGATCAATGTGTGTCATAAATCAAATAAACAAATCTAGTATGAAATTAAATTCTACCGCAGTGCTCAAGTTTTACACCTATATTAATAGCTTATATAGGCACACCAGGACAGTAAAGACACAGACAAATAGTAAAGAAGTAAGAAAGCAAACAACCAAAGGTAGGAGAAATTCGTGAAGTGAGAACAAGAAGGAATGAAACAATAACGAAAGGCGGCATTGTGACTAGGATGAATATAACACATGAATAGATATGCGTCGTCGGGATCTTCAGTCTCCGATTTCAGTTGTCACGTGAACCCCAGCCAGGAAATCTAGATTTCTCTGCATGACCCAGACCCATTAACTAGTCTGGCAACTTATAATCTGATTTCTAGCTTAGAACTATGTCAGCTAGCATTCCGCGAAAGAGCAGACACGTGTAACATGTCCAAACCACCTCAGGCAGGGAAGTTTCACAACCTCACCAACTGAATTCCCTCTTTTCTTCTCAAACATCTTGGTTTTCAACTCATAGAGGGAACAACAAGAAATGTGAAAACAAATAATTTGACCGATATCTGCTAGTATGTACTTCTCTGCAAATAAATTTTCTCTTTGCTTTAATCCCGGTGGTCGCTGGTTCGAATCTGGCCGCGGTCCAGATCTTGATCTCACCGTCAATCGTCACCCAGTATAAATACTAGTCTGCCAAACTACGGCTATCTCATTTAAATATAAATTGAGGTAGTCAGTACAAATTTGTCATTCATTTTTACAATAGATAGAATCATACGGTGCACTAATAGTCATTGGTAGGCTGTTTAAATTTCGGGCTACCAAAAATATTTCATCAAAATGCTCCTTTAAGCATTCAAATATTAATAAATCGTAAAGAACACTGTCACGTAATCTTAAAATGTTTTCAACCTTCTAATAGGATGAAAGAGCTGTTCAGTGTTCCCACCTCTTTCGGTGGTTCTCCGATTGATATCAGTCTGCGAAGAATACCACCTGAGATCAACAAATCTCCACAAATCTTCAAGCTGAAATATTAATTGCTAAATTTCATCTTCTCTGTCGAGTTCACTGTACTTTGAGCAGTAAAATTACAGTCTTGTAAAATGCATTAGTCTATTTGCCGCATTCAAACCATGAATTATTATCAGAACACTTGTTTTCCTCCTGCTCCTGAAGTACAGTGGTTTATTTTCATCATCTCAAGTTCTTCACATTTTTAATGTTTTATAGCTAGTTACGATGCTTATAGTTATAAATAATATTTAAAAAGTAATTAAAACGCTTTATTACATCATAAAATGATGTAGAATTGAGAGAAAAACATTATCAATTATTAAAACGTTTGTTATACATTTTAGTTAACTATTCATAGAACATATCATATTTCAGTCAGCTATAGTGAATTCCTCCACACTTTCAATCATACAGACAAATCTCATGTGCAGATTTCATATACACTCGACGATGTGTGCATGCAACTAAATTAAAATGTTTTGTAGAAACTAAAAGCAGCTTGAATGGCTATACA